GCCTAGACCCTTCATCAGAAAAATTTTTCTGATGAAGGGTCTAGGCCCGAAACGTCAGCCTTTCTGCTCCTATGATGCTGCTTAGCCTGCTGTGTTCATCCAGCTCTGCACCTTGTTGTCAGTGAAACAAACTTAATTGGATATCTCTTTCAAACATGGTTGGTTAGATTGTGGCCTCCTGTGCAGTCTCAACTGATTTTTATAACTTGCCCTTCTGTTATGGCAGATTACTACCACTACATTTCTGACATAATTTGAATAATTTTTGCCTTAACTTAAGTTTAAACTTCTGTTTCAGTAACTACCATAACTAGTTGATTTGAACATTTTGTTTTTACAGTCTGAAGAAGGGTCACCAGACCTGACACGTTAACTGTGTTTTCCTTCACAGAAGCTGCCAGACCCTGCTGAGCTTTTCCAGCAACTTCTGTTTTTGTTACTTTTACTGTCGTTTTATAGACTGCTGGATAGAACTCCAGTTCTCAGATGTGTTATTTTATAATTGGCTGTTGTGAACATGCAGGGTACGTGGATAATTCTGATTCCATGCTTCCTGTCTGTAGATTAATATCTGGTTTTTGTGGCTGAAGCTACTAATATTGTGTAAAATCATACGATGTAGAAGTAGGCTGCTCAGCCAGTTGAGTCTGCTCTGCCATTCCATGAGACCATGGTAGTTCTGATCATTTCTCTACTCCACTTTCTTGCCTTCTTCTAATAACCTCGATTCGCTTGCTGAATAAAAATCTATTTCAGCCCTGAGTATACTGAACGACCCAACCATGACAGCCCCCTGAGGTATGGAATTCCACACATTCACTATTCTTTGAGTGAAGATATTCCTCCTCATCTCTGTTTCAAATCATTGACTCTTTCTTCTGAGTTCATCCCTTTGGTCTTGGACTTTCCCGCAGTTGGAAACCTTTGTTTGTCAAGTCTACACTTGGAAAAGAGGCCATTTTGCTTTTTATGTCTTTGCTGGATTTTTGTAAGAGTTGATATGTTTAGTGTCTCTTGATTACTTTTTGTCTGTTTTTTCCATATTTATTATGTAGATCTTTTGCCAATGATGTTGAATCTATAATCTCCGGTTCTTGAACCATTTGTGGGGCTAGTTTTACCTTTACTGACTGTACTAAACTCTACTGAAGCATCCAGAATTTA